GCCAAGATCTATGCCATGCTCACCTGGATACATTAGCGAGATGCAAAACGGATATCGAAGATCGCATCGAATCGCTACAAATGGACTTTGATATATTGAAGGAACTACACAAGGATGCCAAAACAAAAGCGGCAAAGGAAGTGATGGAGGAAGATTGGGCCGCACTGGAAGAAGAGATAAGATTTTTTGAAACAATTCTTGACGCTAGAAGGTTTCTATATCTCTTGCAAAATCGTATGGAAGATGATATGCTAGAGTTAGTAGGGAGCGGAAGAAAACTTCCCACCACACTCATGGATTGCATGGAAAAAACAAACAGACAAACCCTGTTTACACTAGAGGATGAGGACGACAACAACAGTGAATCTTTAGTCTCAGAGCATTCTGCAATATCAATGACGAGAAATGCAGAGCTGGACATTTCTCCCAAAGAAATGAGCAATGATACAATGACCCACGATAATGACAACTCATTAAGTACTCCGGCTGGCCCAGCTCTGAGTCTCACGACTCATGTGTCTCAGGCAATGGCTTGGATTACCGAAGACTGGCATTCACATGCGACGAATATCAGTAGCACCGATAATGAAGAAACGAAGCTGGATCTCTTTTGTGTTCTACTTCCAACTAAAGACATGATTGTAGGATTACTTCAGCATCACCAGCCTGTGTCAAGACCGAGTTCTCCGCTGAATCGCACCCGTCATCGTACCGCCACTAATATGGGCCCTACCTTCACTTGTCTGCCACATCGACAACGTCCATTGCGATATCCTGACAAAGGAAACACTTCGATGTATCTAGAAAGTATATTTGTGCTCCGTTTCGCTATTCATTTCCCTTGCTGGCCGGAGTGTGCCGACATTGTCGGCACTTCCTTATAATTGTATCTTTACTCTCACCGAAGTACCTTAAAGGTCGTGCCATAAGCATGACCTGCTGTGATACCATTGAGTTATCTTGCTCCGCCTGTTATCGTTAGCATTCTACCATTGCACACCAT